GGATACTTTCTAGAAAACAAACAAACAAAAATAGTGTTCATCAATTTTTCACCACCAGAATTGGATATTTCTTAATTTTAAAGAATAATATAAACAAACTTTTTTATGAAAAAAAGCTTGAGTACACAGTCCCTAAAAACTATTCATTTCCTAGAAGATTACAGTGTAAGAATATTACATGCAAGACAGATGAGTTTGTCATTTTACATATTAAAAAACTTCTGCATCCAGATATGGTGGCTCATACGTATAATCTCAGCACTTTGGGAGGCCAAGGTGGGAGGATCACTTGAGTTCAGGAGTTCAAGACCAGCCTGGGCAGCATGGGAAATCCTGTTTCTATTTTTTTAAATGCAAAAAATTGGCCTAGCATGGTGGCACACACTTGTAGTCCCAGCTACTAAAGAGGCTAAGCTAGGAGAATCACCTGAGCCTGGGAAGTCGAGGCTGCAGTGAGCCACTTTCCTGGAAGAGGTGTCTCCTTCCTCCCCACTAAAATGTCAAATAACCTATGGAGGGTCTTCCTGAAACCCCCAGAGGAAAATTCAGGCAATGCCTCACATTGATCCATAATGAGATGACATCAACATCAGTAAAAGATACCCAAGGAAGAAATGACAAGAAAGATTCTCAAGGAAGAAGTAATAAGGCATCACATCTGAAGAGTGATGCTGTTAAAAAGACATTTGGCCTTACTAAAGATTTGAGAGTGTGCCTTACTTGAATTTCTGACCATTTGACCTCTGGAGAAGGTTTTGGTTCCTTTAGCAGTTTGGTAAAGAGTGGTACTTACAAAGAGACAGAGTTTATGGTGAAGGAAGGAGAGAAAACAGCAGAATTTTCATAAGAAAAGAAAAGCAAAAACCATATGCAACAAACTTGCATGTTCTTCGCATGTACCCCCAAACCTAAAACGCAGTAAAATATATATTTTAAAAAACAAAAATAAAAAAAGAAGATGGATCACATAAAGAAGAGAAAAACAGAGAATGCTTCTAACACAAACACAAATGGAGGAGTTAGTGTCACCAGTTCTCAAGCCCTAAGCAGTATTTTACCAACTTCAGATGTGTCACAACGTAATACTCACCAGTCGCAGCACAATCAGACAAGAAAAGAGAATTGAGATACAATACTACAGCCATGAGAAGCAAGAGAAAGGCACGTTGAATTCAAAGCAGCTTATGAACAAAGTCATTCCTTCCATAAAAACTATACTGAAGATGTTTTCCCAATGACACCACTAGAGTTAGAAGAAACCATTCCAGATGAAAAAATAAGAAGACTTAAGCAGGTACTGAGGGAGAAAGAAGAGCTCTTGAAGAAATGGGTAAGAAGATGTATTGCACTATAGCATGGGCTACAGAGTGAGACCTTGTCTTCTCCTACCAAAAAATAAATTAAAGTTCTTATAACATGAATTAACACCCTTCTACCTTTAACACTTATAAGTGAAGAATCTATGGCTCACTATTGGCGTAAATGGATGAGATGATGGGAGGAAACCCCATAACCCAGAAATCTGAAAAAAGAAGCAGTGGCAGAAGTAGCAGCAATGATAATGATAAAATGATAATAACAGTCATTAAGTTCTTGCTACGTGCTTGGAACTAGCACTTTATGTGCATTGCTTTTTTAATACAAAAAAAATGATAAATGTTATGTTCTTATGTACATATTTTAGATGAGAAAACTGAGGCTTGGAGGGGTTTTGCACATTTTTCAAGGTGACAGCAAATTAGTGGTGAAGCGAAATTCTACCCAAATTCTGACACCAGAAAACATTTAATTAATTATCTATCCTGTAGAGAGAGCAAAAGGTAAGTATCTTGAGAAACACAGATATAAAGTGAAAAGAATAATAAGATATGCATCTATATTTTTTAAAAAGATAGAAAAATTTAGAGAAATTAATTATTTTTATTTAAAAAACAATTCTGAGTAATGATATTTATAAATAGCTTTTACCAGACAACTAGTGTGGCTATTAAAGATATAAAGTTTAATGATATATGAGCCTTGATTAAATGTAACTCTTTGGTATCATTGATCAACCAGGAAATTCTGGCCTTTCCTACAATATGCGGAATTTTCTTGATACCTCTCTCATGTTAAGTAGTCTTTCTGTGGTTTACAGAAACCTTGGCTAAGTTTCTACTTAATGAATTTCTAGTTCTAAAGTCCCTAATTCCCACTCTTGCCATAAGACACATTTTTCTCCTCAGTGCCCCAATCCAATTTAGTTTCTATTCTGATCCTGTAGCCTAAAATAGATGGCAAAGGAAGCATAAAAGTAGTAAATAGATGAATCCAATAAAAAAGGAATAAAAAGAAAATATTGAAAATGAGATCTTGATCAGAGCAAAATTTAAAGACAAAATTAACACTTTTTTTAACAAAGAGGAAACAAACCATTAAAATTGATTTTTTAAAAGTTCTGAAAGTAATCTCTTTTAAATACCATACAATCAGGGGATAAGCCAATTCTCAATAGCAAAAGACATAAGAATTCTAGATATAAAAGTACTTAAGAAATGGGATAATAAGAGTGACAAAGGGAAAAACAGAACAATTGATCCGATTTTCCGTTTAATAAAAATGAGTCGGCTACAATAGGCAAAAAGATGATACATACTCTCTGCAAAGTATGGTGTTGTGTCAGCCCAGTAGAACCAGTAGAACATCTTCAACCTATTCCCAAGAGCTTGGGGAGAAGTTGAGAATGAGAGCAAGAGTTAAAAATATTAGTATATCTAGAGCTACTCTTTAAATAGAGTTTTCAAAATATTTATGTACAGAGAGTGCTATTAATTCTAAAGTTAAGCACAATATACATGTAAAACCCATTTCTTAATTTAGCCTGCAGTCTCCCTCAAGTAATATTGGGATACAACCTCTTATACCATTCGTGTTGTCAATGATTCTGGCCACTGAAAGAGAATGATGCTAGGTAAGATGTGAAGTAAACAGGAAAAGAAATTGATTAAAATATTGATGATAGGATCAGGGTCTGGAGCAGAAATTTTAAAATCTGTATTTGTATTCTGATGACTAATTTTTTCTAAAATAAGCATACATTTTTTTTCTACATGCAGCTATTGGTAAATAGAATAATCCTTCTCCTCCCATTCCTCCTCCTCCAACTGCTTCATCTCCTTTTTATCCTGTCATTTTTCCTCCTTCTCACCTTCTTCTCTTCTTCTTCACTAAATAATTGAAACAAAATTTAGATCAACTTTTATTATCTTCTTTTCTCCAACTATGAAATTATTTTAAAATAAGGTTTGGAGACTGTTTTGGAAAATGGAAAGTGAATATTCACATAAAGTTACAAGTCTGGGGTGCATTATTTTTACACTTCTACCTCTAATGTTAAACTTCCTATTTTTCAAGCATAACCCAAACTCAAGTATTTGTCACTTAGAAGGATACATTTATATCATGTTGCCTTCTTTTCTCATATACTTAGAGTAAGGATCTTAAACATTGCATAAGTAGAAGAGATTTAATTAAAAACCTGAAGAAATGTGCTACTGTTAATTGAATTCTTGCTACATTTACCTTTGCACACCAATGTTAATAAAACTCCAGTTCAAAGTGGATGGGTTTGGGGAATTGAGATAACTATTCATTTCCCTACCTGAGATGCCAAGATAATCTTCTCAGTAAAATAAAGAACTCAACTAGGAGAGTTCTCATTTGTAGCTATTGATCAAGTTTACACAAAATGCTAGGATTTCTAAGTAAAACAAGTAAGAGGTTCAAAGGCCTTTAAACGAGGTTGAGGGAGTGAGAAAGGGAAATAGTTCTCTGCGTTTTGAAAGCCTTTCACCTGTGGAGCAGATAATGGACGGACCCCCTCAGAGCTGGGCTCCGCTCCCGCCCCTAGCCTGGCGCGCGGTCCCTTCCCCCAACCCGCTGAGCCTTCCTGTTCGGTATCTCGGTATTACCGAGCTATAAATTGCCTGAGAGCTTAGAGACAATCAGGTCACCACCACCCTCACAAGGGAAAAGCTTCTTACTTCCGAGCAGAACGGTTCAGCCGGGAAGGGAGGAAGCAGGGAGAGAAAGAATCTATGCTTTAGCCGTCACTGCTCTGGCAAGGGGTCGAGAGAGATGGGGGAGGGGAGGTGGCAAAAAATAAAAAATAAAAATAAAAAGCATTCCTAACAATGTCCGCACTTGACCCAAGTCTACAAACTTAGCGGTCGCCGCGATGGAAACTCCCAGTGACTCTCCCCGGCCTGGCAGCCGCCGCTGCTGGGCGGAGTCGCGCTCCCGGCCCCACCTACGGGACGGGGCTGCTTCTCCCCATCTCGCTCCACCGCACCCTTCTGGGGAAGTCTCCAGGCTTCCAGCAGAGCCCAGCTTAAGCCACCCTCGCTTCTAACCCCGAACCCTGGATGGACGGCAGGATGAGCCTCCGATAGGCTGGCGGGCCACCTCCCCGCGGCTCAGTTTGAGGACACTTGCGCGGAACCCTTTCGGGTCCCCACCCCGCCCAGTTTTCACAACTTCGCCGGGTTAAATGGCCAAAGACAAACTTCTGCCTCTCCCGCCCCCGGTCCCAGCTTTTCAAAAGCCACAGGGGGCGAACCCACACACGTCGAAACTCCTAGGTCGCTGTTGCAGTCTGGGCATGCTCAGTATCAGGGCAGGTTTTGATTGAAAGTACAAAAAAAAAAAAAAAAAAAAAAGCTCTGTATTATGCTCTCTTTCTCCTGTGCGTATGGCTTGCTGAGCAGGTTGTGGGGCTTTCCTGAGTCTACCCAGAGGTTTTATCAGATGCCCTTGATTGTGTCTCCTTGGGGTCGGTTCCCCTGTGACTTCGCCCCCTCCCTCCACCCGCCTCCACCCGCTTTCCCAAGTCCCTGTCCGCTGTGGGGATGGAGAGACACTAACAGGACTGGGATGGGCGCTGCTGGCTGAGCGGATCCACCTATTATGAGTGCGCTGGGATTGGCTCCTGGGCGCAGCGTACCCGCGGTGGAGCCAATCAGGATGCTGGGGCTGGGAGGTGACGGGCGGCCGCCTCCTCGCGGGAGGGATTCCTGGAGAAGCTGCAGTGTGGGGATGCTCTAGACCGAGTACTGCCCCCAGTGTCTTTCCACCTCCTCCTGCGGCAGCGGCAGTTAGCGGCGCCAACTTGAGGCTGCACCCCGGGAAGACCCCAGGGTGGTGCTCAGCCGAGAAGGGGCTCGGCGCCCCGAAGGGGTGTGTGAAGGGTGGGGGCGGCCAGCTGGGACCAGCTGGTGGCCCTGGAAAACCTCCCACACACCCACACCCACACACCCCTTTTGTGTTGCAGGCTGCCCCTCCAAGAGCCGAGGCAGCGAGAGTACGCGTGTGCCTCGCGCCGGTCCACGCGGGGAGAGCACTGGGGACCGAGACCCGGCACCGCCTCCTGGTCCTCCCTCCAGGTAAGGAAGCGGGACTAACGGCGCGGCCACCTCGGCAGTGCCTATCTGCTTGAATCCATCCCAAAGATTTTCCTTTCGATATACTTGGGTTTTAGCGGTGGGAGTCTGAGACCTAGGGAGGCATCCCCGGGTGGCCTATTGTGAGAAATATGAGACTACATGTGCATCTCCTGGAAAAGCACTTTGCACAGCGCCCGTGATTTAGAGCCTGGAGTTGATGCTGGGCATCCCCCATCTTCTTGCTTCCTCTTTCCTTCTCTTGTTCTTTCTCCTCCGTCCTCCACCCCCAATCTCAATCTTCTCTCTTTCTTTCCCATACCTCCCCCCTCGCCCACCTCCCACCCTAAGCAGGCACAAGATTTCTTTCTCCTCCTGGAGAGGATTGTCTTTCTTACAGGAAAGAGGGGGATTGAAGAAAGGAGAAAGATTTCTTTCTGTTGGGGAGACGGATGGGGGGCCTAAACAAAGTAGAATACAACCTCTGAGAAAATCAGAGCACAGAAAGCAATTAAACTGAATAAGGGGTGTAGACGAGACATCCAGCTTGGGCTGTCAGGGAGAGGAAGCGTCAAGTTTGACTTGATTTCCTCCTTGCAAGAGGCTATGTCTCTCACTTGATTCGTTCAAATGGAACGAAAATAAACCGACAATTCAACCCACTTTCAACTGCTTAATCGCTGTTGCTTTTGAGTGCCAACCATCTGACTTTTTCTGTTTCCATCTGTCCTGTGGGGCTGACAATTTGGTATTGCACATCAGTGTTAATATCTTAACTTTGAAAGGTTCCTTGAGTAAGAAAAATAAAAATAAATTATTACTTTCCTGAGGTTCCTTGGTATGGCCTGTTGTTGGGGGATCAAAAATGTAAAGTTTCAAAACATTTGCAAGGGACAACAGTTTTATAGGGAGGCTTAGATTTCTACTTTGAGAAAGCTAATCTAGTTAGCTTTGCGTACACGTTGATATTAACTTTCTCCAGTATTAACCCTTTGGTGAAATAAAGCAACTGTTTGTTTAACTTTTGTGTGGAAGCTAACTTGTGTACAAATTTTCACTTTATTCCTCCTTTCTACTATCTATTTACATTTTATTGTCTGGATACCAAACTTATGCCTGGCTTTATTTTCTTTTAATAGGAGAATATTTAATGGATGTAAACATGATGTTTATACAATTTCAACACTCCCTTTAGAAGGCACATTGAGGGTCAGTTGGACAAGAACCTCTGTACTGGAACAAAGTTTAAAAAGTAATGCTAGAAAGATAGCCTAAATTTTAAAAATCCCGAAGGGAAAAACATTTTTGTAATGTCTTGTTAAAAGAAGGAAAAATATATCAAAACAGCAACATGCTGCTAGCTGCCTGCATAATAGATCAAGTACATGGTACTTGTTGGACAGAGCCCTCTTACAACAGCTTCAGCAGTCTCTAATTCCATCATTGGAGATATAAGCTTTGTTTTCCTATTATTCTACAGGGACAGCTAAGCGATAGGACTGTCAGATGGAAGGAGGTATAGAGAAGTGCCTCATTGGATGTAATAGGAAAGCATCCCGAATGAGTCTTACCTAAACACAGAAAAATCAGATGTCAGTATACAAACCACTTCTTTCTGTTTATCAGGGGAAATACAGAGTCTTACTTTTTTTTCTTCTAGATGTCCACTTGATATAAGAAAAGGAAATCTTCTATCTTAACTCTGACCTTCCACGCTAATTTTATATCTCAGAAAGTATTTTTTCACCAGGATCTTTAATATGTATGTTTACACACTAACTTAGAAAACAGCTGGATTCATTTGCCATCAGTATAATGTGTACTATTTTCAAAACCATTTTCCATTTGAGGCAATGATCTCTCCTACCTAAGCAGAATTACCAAGTCACAAAAAAAGATTTTCTTTCTAGGGATTTGACATTTCAATTACTTTTTTAAAAAAACATAGTGTCTGTTGAAAGCTAACTCTGATTTTTAGAGGTACCACCTTTTGGTTACAAGGACAAAGGGATAATAATCACTTAATTACCTCATGTGTATGTACAACTGAATTAACAAGTTTAGACATGAAAAGATGTACAAAAAGGAAGCCAGCTGCCTCTATGTGAGAAAAATAAGATTTTGTTGTCTCATTTCTCCACCGTGTTAGGAAAATGTGAAAGTTTAGGCTTGATTTGTGACATTTATTTTCATGATTCTTTGCAAAGGTTAATTACAGAAATAATATGTAAAAAGATGGATATGACTAGTTTTTCACATACTTCTGAAAAATTAAACGTCTATATATTGGAAATCAGAACGAATTCCAGTATATAGTAATTGGAATGCAGAGAGACCTTAAATGATGTATTATAGAAAAGTATTACTCTGTTATCACACAAAATAGTCTAATGTCACAATTTCATACAATCTTTATTTTTTCTCCCTCTGACAAGATATTTCAGTAAATCTCATTAATGTTTCAGAGTCAATATGATAATTATGTCTTAAGGTATTTTTGTCAGAACTGAAGACTGCTAATATATAGGGAAAATCCTAATTTCACAAAAATAACCACATGATTGGGAGCTGTTGCTGAGTAGTTTTGAACTTAATTTCACAATGGAGAATATTAGTTATTCCATCTATTATCAGATAGTTCTAATCAAGAAATATGAAAATGAATAACAATGTATTATATGATTTGCATATTAGACTGAAAATAAAACTAAAAACTAGTATTAATTATATGCAAGATGAGCTGGAAGATTAATAAAATAAAATATAGAATGTGTTGGAAATCTGAAAGTTAATTTGAACTTCCCCTTAGCCTAATAACACAATTGACATAATTTCAGTTCATCATTTTGATGTCAGTATATTAAAATGATTTTTAGTAAATTCCCATAATGGATTTTTAGAGCCATCTAATCTTAAAGAACACACACTTAATGCAGACAATTATATGAGCCTGAAATACAGTTTTTATGATTTCCAGTTTATGCAACAGCCAAGAAGAGATATCATTAATTCTAAATTGAAACATAATATTTATTTTCCTAATGGTAATAATTAAATAATTTGGGGAGAACAAACAGTAAAACAGTTTGATTATATAATGGAGCAAATCTTTGTCTACTATTACAAAAAACCCATACCAAAGTTAGACTTTCTGCCATTGTATAATGTAGGTATGGGTCTTACATGCATTCTGCTGAAAATATAATATTTTTTAAAAATTAAATATCTTGTGTAGTTGTAATATTTTTTAATTTTTAAGTAATTTATTTGTCATGAATATATCTGTGCCAAAAGTTTAATACTTGATGTGCCTGATTTTAACTGAATTTTTTTTTTCATTTAAATTGGCCAAAGCCATTTAAACAGAGACAAAGTATTTGGCAATCTAAATAATAATTTCAGTTAGGATTTAAGGATATGTACACATATATGTTTGCAAATATTTGTGTGTGTGTGTATATATATATATTCTAAAATTATGTAACTTTTTCAAAAAGGATTAGAAATTCATGGACAGTAGAATATAATTTGCTGAAACTAGGGGGCATTCATGTACAAAGTACCATTTACAGAAAGGTGATGGTGTCTTGGGAATGCTTTTAGTGGTTCTTTGGTTGAAATTCTGGGAATGCTCACAGATAATATATTCATGGGGACCTAGATTTTTTATTTTAAAATGGGGTGCTATGGCTTTGGGCAGAAGTGATTTTTATATGTGTCATGATTGAAAAAACTCTCAGTACAAGATGACGCACTTCTTTATACAGGTAACAAGTTGAAATCATAGTTTACATGGTTTGGATATGAATATCATGGCTGATAAAAATTCTATCTTTCTAAGGCTTTTGCTAGATGTTTCTTTCAATATTTGCATTAAGGTAAACATTCTTAAATATTTATGTAATTGAATGGCATGATTATTATTGAATTGGGTGGAAGAATGTGCATTGGTATGTTTTCATTCAGTTCCTCAAGAAATGATCAATAATTTTCCATAATCTTTTTGCAAATTTGATTTAAACTTTTCCACTAAGTGGGCCCATTTTCTTAAGCAGAAATATAACATTTCCAACAAAAAAAAATCTTCTTAATCTTTTAAAATCTTCTTTGTCTTTTTAAGAGGAGCTAGTTTTATGTGTACTGTAAGATAAACTGTGGTAGCTGGGCATATGAACATCACTCCATTCATATGCATTAGCGACAGTAAATAAACTTATTTAAAATTTCAGTGCAAATGTATGCTAACTGTTACAGGTAAAAGAGCATGCCATCATTTTCTGTCTATGTCAATACAATTTGCTTTTGTTTTATTAAAAAAGGAAAACTTTTCTTTAAAGTGAACAATAAATATATAGTTATGTTGTAGAAATGGTAAACACTAGAGATGCTATTTCTGCAATTTTAAATATAATATTAGATATTCTATTGCAAAGAATCTTCCTTTTAAAATGGCATCTACATTACATAATTTTTTAAAAAAGCAATATTTAAGAGACTTTCAAAAGAAATTAAAACCTACCTTAAAGTAAAATAACATTTATGGTAGTGTTATAAATGAATTTTCTAACATGTCTTTGACAAATGCAAAACAGATATTTTAAAGAATTGTTTCTATAATTGCTCTAATTTTTATATTTATTTAAACCTCAAGTTCTAATTTCCAATTGCTGATTTCCATACTTTACTAATGGTACAAATGAAAGGTGAAAGTTTATCTTTTCTGGTTACTGCTATTGTGGAGATATAAAGAAAGCATAGTGGGTACTCCCATAAATGTCTCACATACAGTATGTTTAATGTCTTACTTATGCACATAGAAAGGCATTTTGTGAAAGAGGAGCTCTAGAAAATCATAAAGCAGATGAAGATAAAAAACATGCTTCCTATTTCTTAGCTGTTTGTACAAACCGAGAGCTGGGGAATTTCCATGTAGAATGGGATTGGGCTATAAACTAATGTAAGAATCTGGTGAAACTATTTGGTTAAGATATGATTTCCAAGAG